AACAACCATTTGATCAATAAATGAGATGCCCTCTCAAAAAAAAAAAAATATCGCGAGTGATGTTAGGATTAAGAGTTCCCCCTGTGGGCCATTGGTTGTGATTGTCTAAGGGGGTATGTCGGCCAATCTTGGGAGCAGTATTTATGGAGAAGTTTTGGTTTTATATCAGGTGTCAGGGAGAGGGTGGGTAGATACTTGAGCAGGCATTCAAGAGGTGAATCTTTACAGAGGGATGAGGGGTCTCCCATGGCTAAAGGACAGAGAAGGAGACAAACAGGGAAAGATGAAAGGAGATCCTCAGACTGGGAGCTGACCGCAAGGAGACAAAGGGCGTCCCCAATGATCCTTGGTGGTCTGCGGAAACTCGTATACAAGTTGGAATTTCTTAGGAAGTCTGGGTCATCACCCAGACCTCTCTAAGAAGGCAGAGTGCTGGAGTCACGAGGAACCTAGTACTAGGAATTTTTGGCGGAATGAACAGAAGGAGGAGGGGGTAAAAGGGAGCATTCTCATCCGCAAAAGAGTCACCTCATTTATGGCTGTTGGAGAAGGGGCCTGAGGGCCCACCACAGCCGTGAAGGCCAGAGGCGGGGAGAGTTCCCTCCTCGTCCCCCAGCGTCAGAGCCTTGCCAGACGATCATGGTCAATGGCGCTGTGATAACTTGTGGAAGAGTGTCCCGCTCCAGGGGAAAACTTACCCAAAGGCCAAAGAGGAGTGGTGAGTGTGAGGAGCCAGCACCGGAAAAAGAGGACGAGGGCAAGCTGCCGCTGGTCTCGTGGGAAGACAGGTCCCAGTTGGAGTGTCATGTCTCTTGGGTTTCGGCACCAAAATGAAAGGAAGGCGCGACACACAGCAGCAATTCACCAGAGATTTCCACTTTATTGGGGAAAAGTACTAGGTTATATAGGGAGGGACATAAGCTGATTGAGGTGCCACTTCAACAGGACTGGTGGCTATTGGCCAGGTGCTGGGATTGGAGGAGGTGGGGCGAGAGGTGATTGGGCCTTGGGTGGCACCGGCGGGAACCAAAGACCCGGAAGAGAAGCAGGAGGTTTGCCATCTTATGGGTGGGGGCCCTTCAATAATAGAGCTATCTATGGTGATAGCATAGATTCCTCCTGAAATAGTTTCTCCATCTAAAGTCTTTTCATGCAGCTGTGGGGTGGGTACAGGGGAAGACCAAAGTATCTTCCTGTGTCTTTTGCGATTTAACGATATTCAGCTCAAGATAATCTGTCACAATGGCATATGTTGGGGTAGCCTGTCCTTAGTCCCTATGGTTCCCTCTTCTGAAACTTCCCTGGAAATTCTGCAATTAAATATTGAGGCAATAGTAGATCCTTTTAGGGAAAGGACTGGGGAAATCATGAAATATATACCTGAACTCATACCATTCTATAAGTTTTGACAAACATATAGTCATGTAACAATCATTAGATTAAAGCTATTTTTTTTTTAAAGAAAAGAAAAATGAGGTCACAAATGTTCCATTTCATTGAATCAGTGTGGCTCACTTTAGTTGAGCAATGAGGTAGGCATATTCCCAAAGTTAGACCTATGGTTCAAGTAATAAAGTATTAAATAAGGGACATTTCTATAGAAATAAAAGAAAAATTGTAACTCCAAGGGGAAAATAAGTTCACAGTCTGGGGAAAATTACCTTTGAACCTGAAATCAGTCAAAGGGAGAAATAAAGTGGGAGAGATCCATTTTTTGCTTACAAGTAGTAGTCCACTTCTGCTTGCCTGTGTCTCTTCAAACCTGGCTGTAAAAAAAGGGACACCACCAAACCTCTCTGGTCCATATATACCCTCACTCCCCCCACCCTTGTAATCACATATTGATATGAAGATGGACTACTTCTCTCCACCCTTTGGAAACACATACTGATATACAGATTCACTAAGGCCAGGTGAAAGATTCTGGAAATATTGCAATTTTACCCACAAAGAACAAGGTTAATGGTCATGTTGCAGACACATGGGAACTATGAACAAGGAGTCAGGACACTGAGACATTTGGTGAGAAGCAGCATTTGTTAGTGCCGGCACTGGCTCAGCAGATTCCTATCCAAAGGCTGAGCCCTGAATACAGCAGGGCCATGCCTTTTATACATTTCTTACAAAGCTAGGGAGGCATCAGCACCCAGGAACCACTGCAGTGGGAGCTATTAGGTCACTATACATGTATTCAGGATGCTAGTAATATTTTAATCTATCTCTGTAAAGGTTACCCAGATACTGTATTATAAACTAATGGGCTTCCATGACTATGATCAACAAGCTGTTCCATACAGCTGAGTCCAGGTAGGGGGAATACACTGTTACATTCTTTCAATCTCAAGCACCCAAGCACCTTGTGATTCCTCTACATTCCTGAAGCATTAACAGAAACTGTTTCCTTGGCTTCCTACTATAGTCAGAGCAAATATAAATCCAGTATCCCAAGTTCTAGGTAGTGCCAGTGAGAATGCTGGATGTCAGTCAAAGTACCCTTAGACAATGAGTGTAAGCATTAGAAATCTGAGATTTTCCTGGTTTGTGGTTCAAACATCTGTGGTGATCCTTTCGAATGGACTATACATCAACAGGCAGGAAGATTGTCTAAACACGAGCTGTTGGGATTTCTCTAAAGTTCATATCAGAAGGTTCACTGTAGCTCTGGGAGGAAGCAGTGTTCCTAGACTGGGATAAATAAGCCAGAGTGACTGAAATCAATCTAAGGGAAGGCTATATTAGAAAAAACCATTTATTGTTCATGATGATGTACAGCTCTGTTTATCCCCTCTGGCTACTGCTCTCACCCTGTCCCCCCAACTATAGTGCCTGCCTGCGCCCTTCTCCACCAGCCCCTTCCAGGAGAAACTCCATGGGTGGATCCCTGGTGACTGACAGGTGCCTAACCAATTATATAACAGGAATGGAGGGGAGGAGAGAACAACTGTCCTCTCTCTACTGCTTGTCCCTGAAGCTGAGGGAAGAAACACTTTCTGATATGTAAATAGCCTAAGGCCAGGTAGGGGATTCAGGAAATAGTGTAATTTACCCACATTCACCTTTAGTTTGAGCAGTTTCAGGAAAAAGGGCAGTTTTAGTTCTCAATTCCAAATCAAAAGGATGGGAGAAAAATTAAGAATGTTAGTTTGGTGAGTAGTTGCCAGACTTTGGAGGAAACCAGAATTCAGGTTCCAATCCAGTTTACAATGAACATTAGATTCTAATATCTATAAAGGTGCACTATCAAAACATAATTTTTCTCTTTAAAATCACCCTCATATTTATTAGAGGTAACCATATTAAAAGTAATGTGTTTATAAAATAACATTAGCATCAAAACACTTGGCCTGGGTGCAGCAAGAATAGCAACTGCTCATATAGGTTCTTTTAATTGTGCTTTACTGGAACTTTTAAGGAATTTCAGATTGAACTTTTATAGGCTTCTCAGGAAAGCCAAGCAAAAGAGTTGTTAGACTTTACCTGCAATACCTAGACATTAGGTGAATGCCTCTCCTTGAGGTCCCCAAAATATTCTAAGGTTCCAGCACCTGCCAGGAAGTGACCTTCCTTTCTCACCTGGTAAGGCTTTTGAGAATCCTATAATCTAGGTACCAGGCCAATTCTTCCAGGGAGCTTTACTGGCTGTATAGTCAACCTTAGTTCCTTAAAACCGTCTGGTCATCTATGAGTTTATGCACATCTCATATATGACATTCCAGTCAAGGCCTTGGCAATATAACCATGGTTTTCAATTGTGTCCTGTTACACAAGGAGAACAGTTTTACTGAACTTATGTAAATAAATACATTGCCACAAAATATAAAAACACTCACTCAGAGTTTCTAAATTCTGGACAGAGAGAAGGATAAATGTTGAATTCTGCTTACAAAGAGAAGAGAAAGACAAAGGGATAGAAAGTCTCTTAAAGGAAAAATTCTTGAAAATGTCCCCAGTCTAGGAAGGAAAGACACTTAGTTCATGGAAGCACAGAGATCCCCTAACAAAAGGAACCCCAGCAAGACAACACCAAGGCATCTAATAATTAAAATGGCAAAGATCAAGGATAAGGAGAGAGTGTTGAAAGCAGCAAGAGAGAAAAAAGATTACTTATAAAGGAAAACCCATCAGGCTATCAGCAGGCTTATCAATGGAACCTATTTAAGTAAGAAGGGATTGACATGATAGAAGGACCTTCAACCAAAAATCCTCTATCCAGCAAGATTACCATTTAAATTTGAGGCAGGGATTAAACAATTTCCAGATAAACAAAAGTTGAAGGACTTTGCCACCGCTAAACCAGTCTTACATGATATGTTAAAGGGATTGCTGTAGATGGAAATGACCCTAAGGCTAAAAGCTTTCACCAATGAAAATAAACACAAAGTAAAGATAGTAGACCAACTGATTACCAAGAAAGTACAAAATTAGAACAAAACAAAAGAAGCAAAATCAACATATATAAAATGGGTCAAGGGATAGACAAAAAGTACAGATTATGACATCTAGTATGAAAAATGTGGAGGAGGAAGAAGGAAAATAATGTAACTTTAGACTGTATTTGAAATGGAGTAATCAGCAATTTAAGAGAGCCTATTATATAGTAAAAATCTATCCTTGAACCTTTGGTAATGAAAAAACTAAAGCCTACAATAAATACAAAAAAAATAACTTTTAAAAAGAGAAAAATGCAATTATAACACTACAGAAAATCATCAATAACAGAACAATATAAGAGAGGAAGAAAGGAACAGAAAGGAAATTTTAAAAAACAGCAGAAAATCTTACTATGCTGATGGACAGTGACTGTAATGGGGTTTGTGGGGGGGACTTGGTGAAGGGGGGAGTCTAGTAAACATAATGTTCTTCATGTAACTGTAGATTAATGATAACAAAATGAATAAAAAAGAAAAAGAAAAAAACAGTTAAAAGAAAAATGATTTGCTATTTGGTAATAACTAATGGGACTTGAATTACAGAGATGCCCCAGACTGAAGTTTATCTCAGTGTCAGTAAATCTCCAAACTGCGATGAAACTAAAAAAAAAAAAGCAGAAAACAATTAATAAAATGGCAACAAGCACATACCTATCAATAATCACCTTAAGTGTAAATGGGTCGAATGCACAAATTAAAAGACATAGAGTGGCAGAATGGATAAGGAAACAAGACCCATTTATATGCTGTCTACAAGAGACTCATTTCAGACCCAAAGACAGGAACAGACTAAAAGTGAAGAGATGGGAAAAGATATTACATGCAAATAATAGGGAAAGAAAAGCAGGATTAGCAGTACTTATATCAGACAAAATTTATTCCAAAATAAAGTAACAAAAAGCAAAGAAGAACATTACATAATAATAAAGAGATCAGTCCAACAAGAGGATGTAACCATTATAAATATCTATGTACCCAACACAGGAACACCTAAATATGTAAAACAATACTAACAGAATTAAAGGAGGAACTAGATTGCAACACATTCATTTTAGGAGACTTAAACACACTACTCACATGAATAGCCATATCAACCAGACAGAAAATAAATAAGGAAACAGAATTACTGAACAATACATTAGGTCAAATGGACTTAACAGATATCTAAGAATACTCCATCCAAAAGCAGCAGAATACACATTTTTCCCAAGTATACATGAAACATTCTTCAGAATAAATCTCATACTAGCCCACAAGAAGAGCCTAAATTAATTCAAAGTGACTGAAACTGTATCAAGCATCTTTGCAAACCACTATGGTATGAAACTAGAAATAAATTACAAAAAAAACTACAAACACATAAGGCTAAAGAATATGCTTT